AATTCTATGGAATAACAAATAACAAAAAAATCTAAAATATCAAAATGAGCTTCAATAATATCAGTAGCATTAATGTCAGTCACTGGACCTTAGCCTATACATCTATTCTAGTTATACTAAAACTAAACTGAGCAGTCAATTCAGTTAACCAACAAATCATTGTGTTAAGGTGGGAAAACATGATTGTTTATTTCCTCTAAATTTATTTGCAGTTTCACTGAACTAACCTAGAATCTAGTTGTTTAACACATGTAAATGTATTTATGCACTCAATCAACCAATATTTGAGTGCCGACTATGTTCTAGGCATTGCTCTAAATTCTGGGAGTACAGTGCAACCAGTCTCTGCCTTCATAGAGCTTACATTTTAAAAGTAGACACAGAGAGTAAACAAATAAGCTAGTAAGAATGAAAAATAATTTCACACAGAAAGATGAGTGCTATGAAGAAATATAAAGGAAGATAAGAGGTTGGAGAGTAACTGGAAACATTGTGGGGGTGAATGGACAACCTAAAAGTGATATCACCCTTTCAGGATTGAAACTCCATTTAGTAGGATATTAACCAAGTATTCCATTTATTGAGCACATACTCTTATTTAGGTACTACAATAGGTATACTCTTCACAACAACCATGAGAAGATGAAAAACTATCTAAACAGCTTGCCTAAAAATTGTCTAAACAGCTTGTCTAAAGTTACACACACAATCAACATCAGAGCCTCAATTCAAACTCTGTGTAACTCCAAAGCCCACCCTCTTAGCACTATTATCACATAACTGCTCCAATAAAAATCAAAATGGTCTCATTTCCGAACTTCAATCCATTACCACAGTTACATTATTCATTAGCGTTAATAAATTTTAATAAAGCATATTTCAATTATACACCATACTTCTGAGAGGTGGTGAGAAATAAAAAGAATGATATATTATTAATTCTAAAAATGTAGTACACTTTGGGGATTACTATTTATCACTCCTGTAGTAATTGTATTTGAAAATTCTCAGTAAAATTTGTTGTTTCACAAAATACCTTGCCTTGTTAAGCTACCCCAAAACATTTATCAACTTACAATTTACCCTTAGGATTTATTTTATAGAACTTTTTTTTTTTTTGGTAGCTGGCCAGTACAGGGATCAAACCCTGGCCCTTGGTGTTGTCAGCATCACACTCTAACCAACTGATGGACTGGCCAGTCCTAGAACTATAATTTTAATAAACAAATCAAATGCTACAACACATCATTTCATCAGGAAACTACAAGTAAAACTGAAAATTTCTCCAATTTTCTGGTAGTGAACAGATACATTAAAGCAGAATTCTAACAATCTATTTGTAATCATAAACATCTTTCCCTATCTCTGTTTGTTTTGTTTCTGTTCGTTTTTCCCGGGTCATACAAATTGGTCCTATTAATAACCAAAGAAAGGGGAACAAACTTATAACTTTTCAAGAAAAGAAACTGAAGATTGAGGTGCTGCCCATGTGGTACAGCTCCTCATGTCCCCTTCCTTGCCCAGAAAATATTGAAGTGAAAAAGTTAGTTGACTGAATCCTAAGAATCCCCATCAAAAACCTCTAACAAAGGGGAAGCACAATGAAAGAAAGCCTAAGTGAACAACACTGGAAAAAGTCAACAAAAATACCCCTAAAGGAGAAAGTCTCAGTCCCAGAACCAAGATCAAAGGTGCTGCCAGAATTTAGCAGGCACCTTCATACGGGACTGGGACTCACCCCTGGCTGGGTAGAGTAGGCCTAGTACAAGGAATTGGCTGGGGTCTCAGAAAGAGGGCTGAATCCTGAGCCCAGAGAGGATTGCTCTCAGCCCTGCAAGACCTCCAACCGCTCCTTCTCTTCAACCTCTTCCCACTTCTATACCTAACCTTGGGCAACTGCAAATTGGGGAAATTATTGTTGCAGGCTAGAATTTAAATGTTATGGAACTCGACTAGGCTTAGAATTAGGGTTAGGGCAATTAAATAGAAATACTGAAGAGTATTTACTAAGTAAAAGTAGTTAAGTACAAACATGAAGTAAACTTTGACTAAGTATAAGTAAGCAATTAATCGGCAACAATTGGAAAGTGAGGGAGGGAAGACAGAGGAAAGAAAAGTGAAAATGCTAATCATTTCTCATATCATGAAATCAATCCATGATATTTAAAACTGAACATGTAGGTAGTTAAGGAAGCATGAAATGATCCCAACATCTTTCATAATCTCATCTCAACCTCAAAGGGATTTTTTAGTAATGATTACTTTTGTAAAGAAGAAACATTTAGTTAAATTTGAGCAATATCTTCCATTTCCACTTCAATTAATTGTTCCTCTGTTAAACTGAATTAAATTTAATATTTATTTGCTTTAAATTAGCAAGAATATTATGATCTCATCCTTATAAAATTATTTCTGCCATCATGCCCTCTGAATATGCCCACATGTAAGCATGAATAAATATCTGAAATGATACTTTATTAATATTAACAGTAGAAACTTCTGAGTGGTGAGATTAGAATAACTCATTGTTTTCTTCTCTACTATTTTAGGCATTGCTTAAAATTTATAATGAATATGTGTTGTTTATAAAAAATAATTACTTTCAAAAGTAAATTAAGGAGGGGGAGGAAGAAGGGGATAGGGAGAGACTGGACAAGGGGCATAAAGAATAAATACAATTTGTAACAATATACATACTAGTAATATTGATTTGATCAACATATGTTAACATTGAATCCCCAAAACATGTGTAATCAATTATGATTCAATTAAAAAAAAGAGAAGGAAAAAAAAGTAAATTAAAATAACATTTAGTAAAACTGAAAAATTAAGTTATTTCCACTGTAACTCTGCCTAATCAATGGTCAGCAATGTTTAAGCAGTACCATCTTAGAAAGGTGCATGAATTAAGGAAAACTTGATTATTTAATCTAGACTATTTAATGTCTTTCATTCATATGTTAATATTTATAACAAATAATTAAGATTAGGATGTATTACATTTCTGCCTGAAAATCAAGTGATGTTCCAAGGATATTTAGTAGTAATATAATGAAAAACCTCAAAATGCATGTTTTTTTCTATAATGGAGTAATAGTGCCATTTTTATCCAAAAGGGGGCATACCTAAATGTATATATAATATAGAATAAAATTTATGAAAGAAGTCTTTATGATAAGATTTAAGGCAAACTAGTTGACCTACACCAAATCTAAAATCTAGCCTTTAGGTATGCTGTGGTGTTGTCAGAGAAGATTCATGTTTGAATATGGAGAAAAAGAGAACTGATTTTGAATAACAACACTGTGCTAGACCCATGCTAGAAGTTTTACATATGTTATTATCTCCTTTGATTCTCACATTGCTACTTCCAGGTAGGTATTAAAAATTCTGTAACTGAAAAATAGAGGCCTAAATAAGTTGTCCAGAGTGCCCAGGTATGCAAAGTGCTAAAGCCAGACTTTGAACCTAGGTCTGCTTTACTCCCATAGCCTGTACTCTTTCCACCTTTCATGATGCCTGTGGAATGAATCTTGATGTTTATTGTATTTACATCTTGCTTATGCATGGTACTTGGTATATGTCACCAAGTAGTAAATAGACCATTTGGTATAGTGAGAAAGCACTCAATTCAGAGTCCGGGGTCCTGGGTCTAATTCATTCTTGTGTCTAAAATGAGCCAGTCAGTAAACATGACACAAAAATCACCAACTAGGGAAACACAAGAGATAAAGGCTGTTGTCGATTGATACATTAGAAGGTTGAGCACACACTGTGTGCTTATCCCTATCAGAGGAACTGTAGTAATCCTACACCTCAGCAGTTTTTAATCTAATTCATTTAGCATTTGAAACACACTACAAATTTTAAAGTACCAGATCTTTCACATATTACCAGTTGAGTTCAGTGCCCTTAAATAAAAGCATTCACAATAATAATGTCTTAGCCACGTAAGAGTCTATGGGATAGAAGAAAGAGAGATATGTACATGTTCCATTTTCCCAATGGATGGAAAGAAAACCAGTGCCCTTGAATATCTTAAGGAAAGGCCATACATTTTTTTCTAAGACTTGTGAAAATGAAACAACAGAGGATGGAAGTACAAAAGACCTTATGTTTCAAGACATTAAAGTTCCAACTGCTGCTTTGAAATTAATAAAAAGAAGGAAAGACCACAAAAGAGAAGACTTGAAGTCACTCTGTCTCAGTTTATCTCAACACTGTAGCAATATTTTGTAAAGAATTAACTGAAGAAAGTGATTTGGGGGAGGAACACCTACTGAAACAAATTTTTTGAGCCTACCAATCCAGTTTGTTTTGAAACAGATGTCTTTTAGAATTTTTATTTACTGGGCTTTCACACTTTTTTTTTTTTTTAACTTAACACCGTTCATATAATCTTACCTCAGAGTCCATTTTTTGATCTAATCAACCATGTTTTGGCCATCTATGTACTTTTTAGGAACTTCCCAACCCACCATCAATGCAGAGGGATTGTTATAAAATCAAATAATTCTTTCACTGTCAGAATCTAATGCATATGACAAGTTATACCTTAGGCTTTAAGTAACAAATTTTCAAATACACAACTATTTATAATATTCCAGAAGGGAAAAATACGAAAATAAAAACCCTCTGCTATGTGTATATGTATTTCATCTACATATCTGTGGTCTAGTCTAGTCACCTATTTCATCTATTTCACAGAAGGAATATTCCTAAATCACTTGAAGGCACCTATATTAAGTTTGAATAATAAAGAAGGAAAACGTGCTTACCACCTATCTATTGCTTCTTGCTAAAAAGATTTTTCCATGAGGCCACACTGATGTTCAGCCTTGAGTACATTTGTAATGAACATTTCCATTTTACTTTAATAAGTCATTCACTTCCCCTGGTTTCTTTCTAAAATTAACTCAACTTTAATCCTACGGCTTAGGAAAATCCCTTTGGAATACGTAAGGGAAAAAATTATGCATATTATAAAGAAGAATACCTACCTCAGGCCCTGTGAGGTACAGCATACCAGAAAGAGCAGAGGCAACCAAATCATAACCACCTCGCTGAGACATGGGACCTGTCTGACCATACCCTAAAACAACAAGGAGAACAGACATGTTCAGCACCACAAGGTATGCTAAAACCATCATACAATAGTATGTTAAAATCATTTGTATCCAGAAATCTTGCAGCGTTTCATTACTATTAGATCTATACTATCCCTTGAAGAAGCAGTAAGAATTAATTATGCTGTTCTACCCCAGAAAGTCAAAACCTTCTGACTTGCGGGCCAGATCCCACCTGCACGATATTTTGTTTGGCCTGAAGAGTGTTTTGAAATGATTTTATTTAGTTGCCAACATTAAAAATCAGCAGATAACATATAAAATGCAAATTTCTGGCTTTTCTTGAAAAATCAGAAAATACATTTAAAACTAGACCCACATTTTCACAGGGCAACAATTAAGAGGTGAGTAAGAGATCTCCCTTTTACACAGGGCATGGATTCTCTGATTTGCCCATTTCCACCACACTTTACTCATGGATGCATCAGCCTAAGTCACTCATTTAACTTACCTTCCAGACCCCAAAAGGCAATTACTACTTCTGTTCTGTACACAACAATATACAAAGTAAAACAATGTCTCCCTGGGTGTTAATTACATATTTCCTTAGACATGTAAGAAGGAAAATATAAATGATGATTTAAAAATTTGGATGTAAATAAAAACAATTACATCTCCTAAAAGTGCTTTTAAGATTACAAAGAAAAGGTGTCACGTTTTTTTCTCCCTACGCCCCCTATTTTTTTGGCCATCAGCACGAATCAAAAGAACAGAAGAAATATTTCTTCTGCTCTCCTCAGTCCTGATATTTGTTGTTGAATAATAAAGATTATATCAGGGGCTATGAGTCAACAAGAGAATAGCCACATGAAGAGTTTTCCACACCACCAACTACCCGCTGACATTCCCTGCACACCATGCTTTAGAAAGATCAATAAGGGGCAGCCTGAGGGCATTGCTTCTGCAGCCACCCACTTCCCTCCATATTGCTCATACACCTCACTCCCTCCCACCTCCAGGTCTCCACTCAAATGTCTCCTTTCCACAGGGACCTTCCCCGATGACCTTTTATAAAAGAGCACCCTCACTTCTCACTTTTAACCCCTATTACCCAATTATTTTCGTTTTCGTAGCCCTTATCAACACAGATCAGTAATACAGTTATTTGTTTATTGATTTATTTTGTCTCCTCCCTACTAAAATGTATGCTCCAAGAATTTCTTCTATTCAATTTGCTGCTGTACCCCCAACATCTAGAACAGTATTTACTGAAGGAATGAATGACCACTTGTTATACAAAAATAATTATTTTTTCAAAAGCTAAAAAAAAATCAATTAAAAAGTAAATGAATAAAGAAACTAAAGAAGTGAGTAATTAAATGATGTAATCACCAATGACCTACCCAGATACATGTGCCACCAGAAATGGTCTTTGTCAGAAATGTAAGTATGTAAGACAAAATCCTCAGAAAGATTAAATCATATCATTATGGGTGACAGAAAAGGTATCAAAACATCTCTCTTTATACTTTATTATGGAAAATTTCAAACAAATAAAAATAGAATATATAATAAACCCATCGGCCAACTTCAATAATTTTTCGTTCATGGCCAATCTTCTTTCCACTATACTTATTTTTCAATTAAAGTTACTGTATGAAGAAAAAAATAAAACCACGAAAACAAAACCCAAGTGTTGTGATTCAGGTAAAAGCCAGTTTTGTCTCTCAATTTTACAAACAAAACTTGTAAATTCTGAACTTGTAAATTTTTTAAATCTTCAGAAAGCAAAAATGGGATATGAAGGGAGCGCAAAGACAAATAAAGTACGTTAATATTCTCCCTGTAGAAATACAGAAATTAATGCCAATGGCCACAACCCCCTACACCCACAGCTAGCCCAGCAGTGGCCACCAAGCCGCAGCAGGAAGCAACCTGGGCTCTCCCAAGCTGGGGTGGATGAGGGGCCTCGGGCCTCAGCCACACACCCCCGACACCCACAGCCAGCCTGGCAACGATCACCAAGCCACAGCAAGAAGGGCCTCAGGTTCCCAAGCTGGGATGGTGGGGGCAAAGGCTTTTGCTACACCCCCTTGACATCTGCTCCCAGCCCAGCAATGACTAAGTCACCGCTGGAAGCCCCTGGTCACCCCTGGGGGAATGTGGGGGATTCCACAGCCTTCAATCCCACCCCTCGTCCTTCCTCCTTCTTCCATCCCATTTCCTTCCCCTTTCTCCCTCTCCCTCCCTCCCCACTGCTCCACAACAACATCCTAGAATGTAAAAAAATAATATTAATCAAATTACATTAAAAAATAAAAAGAAATTAATGCCAAGCTTTAGAGAATGAATTCCAGGGCATTTAGTCTGCAGCTATAAAGAGCACCCTAGACCAGGCTTCCAGCTTCAACACAATAGTTTTCAACCACAGGTAGTCCCCAGTACAAAACAGGCCTCCTGGAGCAGAGAGAAGCTGCCACCACTGTAAAGCAGGAATGCTATTTGCTCCATGAATCACTTGTTATCCCAACAGGAAGCCAAGAAAAGAAATTAAGTTTCAGTCCACTCTAGGTTGGGAAAATCAGATGCTTCTGGACAGGAGCCCAAATCCCTCAAATGGGACAAACTGAGGTTCTTCACCATCAGCACAACTCTAAATGGATTTGCCTAAATAAAGGCCTACAGAAAAATACACTCAGAAAAACAAACAGCTTACTAAGCAAAGGTGCACCATAATAGCTGCCTTTAGATACAAATTCTCTTTTTGTTCAGTTTATAAGGGGGAGGCACAAATACCCTAATTACTTTAAATTACAACTTCCAAATATTTCTATTAAAGAGAAATAGACTTCCAGTCAAGATGGCAGAATAGACAGTCCTCAGCTTCACTCTCTCCCACAAATCAACCAATTTACACTATAAAAAAAGCAACGACAGCCAAGCTGGGGCCGCTAGAGATCAGGGGAAGAGGAGGATAGATGTACGGAGTGCAAGAAGGCAGGAGAAGCCATGATGAGAGAAAGAAAAAACTGCTCAGACCATTTAGAACCCCGGTCACTTCCAGGCTGGAGCTGCTAAGTACACAGAGCAGGAACTGGCAAAAGGGGGCAGCTGTGCCTTTCGGATGAAGTTGCTTAGAGATGACAGGGGAGAAGAGGACCTAGGTGGCCACCAGGCCAGCAAGCCCACTAACAGCGTTCTCGTGGACCCACATAAGAGCAAAGAGCCACAACTGAAAAAAAGGAGCCACTCCAAGGCCGATGACTCATCGCAAGGGACCAGAACATGGCCCATCCCATGGGAATTATTTGGAGCACAGGTGGTGGGGGAGACACGCCCACTGGGAGAACACTGGGGCACAGCAAGGACAGCTGATCTGCCCCCCAATCAGCACAGGACCACTCAGAGAAGACCAATCAGGAATATAGAATTGCATGGGTGGCAGTTTTATGTAAAGACTCAGGCCCAGACCAGAGTTTTCACACAACCCAGATGCACCAAATCTCACCAGATCTGGAAGTACCTATAAAGTCAACCATTAAAACCTGAGCTGCACAAAAAGCCTTCCCCAAGGAATCAGCAGCAAAGCAACAATTTAGCTCAACCACAGAGATCAAGTACTGGTCCCCACAGGAAGTTCCCCCATTTTACAAGTAAGCAAAGGACAACAAATTAGTTCCAGTGCAGAGTTTAAGTGGTGGCAACAGCAAATAATCCAACATAGAACTGAAAGAAAAACAAAATACCCACAACCAGAGGCAAAGTTTAATATTAATTAGAAAAGATCTCATTTCACCAAAGAACACCTATAACACCTAGAAGGACCAGAAGTCCCCAGGGCTACCAAGCCAGAAAAGGGGAGGGCCAGGGGCTTCAGCCATGCCCCCCAACACCTGCAACCAGTCCCAAGGGTGGGGGCCAAAGGTCTCAGCCACACACCCTTGACACGCGCAACCACCCCAGCAACAACCACCAAGCCACAGCAGGAAGTGCCCCGGGTTCTTCCAAGCCTGGTTAGCGTGGAGCCGAGGGCCTCAGCCACTGACCCCCAACATCCACAACCAGCCCAGTGATGACCACCAAGCCGCAGCAAGAAGGACCCCAGGTTCCCGAGCTGGGAGGGTGGGAAGCAAGGGCTTTTGCCACACGCCTGTGACATCTGCACCCAGCCTAGCAATGACCAAGCCACTGCTGGAAGCCCTGCAGTCTCGCCTGATGGAATGTGGGGCTGCCACAGGCCTCAACCCCACCCCTCCTTCTTCCTCCTTCTTCCATCATATTTCCTCCCCTTTCCCTTCTCCCTCGCCCTCCCAACTGCTCTACAACATCATAAAATGTAAAAAAATTACATTATTAAAAAAAAAATAGAAATATATACTTTCATTGGAGGCAGTATGGCATAATGAAAAAAAAAAGTATGAGTCTTAGGATTGAAACAAATATGGATTCAAATGATAGCTCTGCTAACTATCAAATCTTTTTAATTCATTTAACCTCCCTGAGCCTCAGTGTCTCCATCTGAAAAATGGCAACATTCACATTGAACTCATAGATTTCTTACAAGGATTTAGTTTGATAAAACAGCATAAGCAAAGTGCATTTTACATCAAATGCTAAATACACATAGTTGATAAATGTTAATCAATATACAAATAATATATTAGCTTACCTTTTCCATAAAATATTGAGAACAAAAAAGCCTTGAGATATGCTGAAATGATGGAATACATATTCTAAACATTGAAATTATGATATTTAATAACCCGTAAAAGTTGTGATTTTTTTGTACTTGAAACCTTTCATTTCTCCATTGTAAAAAAGCTGACAATAATTATATATATATAATATATATATATACATATATATATATATTTCTGTGATGTGAATCAAAAATTATTCCACCTTTACACCTTACATATACCCTATATGAATAACTACCAGTACTATCAACAAATATTTATGACAATAAATAAACACAAAGTTTTAAAGCAGGGAAGTAACTATCAAAATGGTATTTTGTTAAAAT